ATATTTTTTCGCGTACTGCGCATGCTATAATCAATGATTGATCTGTGGTTTATGATCATGCACGTCAAAAGTAACATCGTACAATTTTTTTTTGTTGCATGCGAAAAAAATAACGAGATCAGCTTGCTGTTGACCGTTGTGTTTTTACCAGAATTTTTAAAAATATTCTTATTTGATGCTTCTTCTTTGACGTGCTTGAATTTTCTCTCATTTTAGTACAGATTCTAATGATTTCTTATTTCTGCTCTCCGATAAAAATTGAATTTCTATTGATTTCTCTCGTGTTTTCATTGTTTTTATCGCTAGGCCAATCATGGTACAAGTGCTCGAAAAAATAAGGTACTCGTGCAAATTACTTTTCCCCCTTATCTCTTTATCCATTTGAATGTATAATTTTTCTGAAGGTGTAAAAACGAGCGCATTAATACCTTTGTTCTCAACGTAGCTTAATTCTCTGTTACGTAATATTGCTCTAGCAAACAATCATAACTGTCTCTCTCTTTCTCTTTCTTTCTGTTGATATCTTTTTTATCTGCCTTACATAATCGAGTCAACGGATTTGTTACAACAATAATCAACAATATATTTATAGGCCATCACAAATCACGGATGCTCCCTCGTTTTAATTTGCTGATATATTATTTGTATGTATATACTTCCCTGGGACTCCCCCTTTTTTATTAATTATTTGTTACCCATCTCTTTTTAAACGGTTTATCGTATAATTATATTGTCTTTTGGACGTTTTTTATTACTATCTTTTCCTCCCTTTTTTTGTGTGGTATAAACCTCGTGTGAATAAAATAAACCTTAAATTTTGCCTGTCCGTCATCTTTATGGCATCACTATGCAACTTTTCACGATTTTTTCTGTAAATATATAATTTTATATTTTACGTAAATATATTTATATTACTTTTTCATATAGAGTCACATCTGCATAATATATATATGTAATAATTAACACGGGTATTATCTTGTACATTGTCTATAATGCTGATAGCGGTTTAGAGAAACGTAACGTATATTTCCGTTTTTTATTGTCTCTGTCTATTTATAAAATATCTTTTTCACTTATCACCAGCTATAATTATAACAATATAATATAATGCCTTCTTTGTTTATCCCATTTTCTTTTCGCGTGAACGTATTACATCACGAGATGTTGAATTTTTGTGTTGTTTTATCTCACTTTGCGATTCCATTTATTTTTGATCTAATTAAATATACGGTTCACGAACATTTATTCACGCGAGTCACGAAATCGATCTTTGTACAACTCACGTAGCTGCTGATACTTATTAAAGCACTCTATGTATGTTCATATATTTATATTTTTTTTCTTTATTAATCTTATCACCCATATTTTTACGTTGCATACGACTATTTGTGCCGTTTTATGATTATAACTTGAACATTTTATTTCACGCTTAGAGGACATCTAACCCTCACTTTATTTACTTAAACAGTGAGTCAGTTTTGATTAGGAGGAAGGATGGAGGTGTTAAAGTCTCATTTCGATTTTCTGCGATCTTACTTTCTTGTTTTCATTTGGCTTCGCTAAGATATTGTGGTTGTTTTATCTATAGAGAAACACTTTTTCTGCTACTTTAACATTGATTTTTCAAATTTTCATTTCTTGAAACTCATGAATGAATTCAGATTAGTGCTAAAAATGTTTTGACATAACATTGATAATGAAATAATAGTTATTGTGCTGGTATTTAAAAGTAAAATTGATCTAGAAATATTGAATATTGGAACAATTATACGAAAGATGCGATATCACGTGATTATAATAATTTATTCACCATCTTCTAAATATGCACTGTGTTCTTCGCTCTGTGCATAACTGGAGAATAGTAGTTAGAGGCTACGTTTTGAAATGCTTGCCAATTATCGTACCAGTGGCTATGGTCATATCAGGGTATTTTTAACAAAACTACGTTAGAAGTATTGAAAAATACATGCGTTTGATGTCTCAAGAGGTTTGAAATTATCATATTGATTTGAACAATGTTTGAAGCATAAGTATTATTTGTAAATACAGGAAAAAATTATCATGTATTACCTGATTAAGTCAGATGTACCAGTACATGGCCACCGTAAACGCTAGTTATTTTTGAGATCAGAATTAAAAGATCCAATGGCTTTTCTGAGTTAGTCACGTAAAATTTCATAGTAGTCATGTACTGGTACGTGCCAAAAGTAAGGTTATGTAAACAAATGGCCTAACACCTGGCTCGTTATTCATGACCTTTAATTTAATTTCTTTTTTTGAGTTGTTCGTATGAGAAAGTTTAATAAATTACTTTTTTATATGAAACGTTGGCCAATTGAAGTTATCTACTTCTGGATAAGATTTGCATTTACGGTAATTTTAATTCATGGTGTAGTCGTGTTGCACTGGGACCGTTCAGTTACTAGTACATTTAGATAACACTTTACATTAGACATAATTTTAACATTCTTGAAGCTTAAAGTTTTAACCTTCACCACAATGTACCCATAACGAGTAGAATTAGAGCATAACTGGTCAAGGAAGTATCATTCGAGATGCGAAATAGCATATAGTTGTAGTAGCCTTGATTGATCCGAGCTTCTTGTCTCAAATTTGCATAGACATTAAGATTCGCTAAGTACCCTATAGCTTCATTATTTCCATTAAATTATTTATTTCATGGTTTTTGTTTCCCCTAGGTTGGCTAGAATAGTTACGAGGTTATATACTGTGTGTTTATAGTTATATTCATACAGCGATAATACGGTGCGATACAGGAATACGAGAACCGTGCCGCGAAAAATTGCTTTCGCGCTTCATTAATGTATACCATACATCATACATTTGTCTGGAAGCTTCATATTTCGATCGACGTGCTGATAACTTCATTCTTATTTTTCCTTTCACTCTCAATAAATATCACTAAACATGCAACGACAAGCACGGCTGAGCTTTAAATTCGCTTGACTATGTTTAATTTGTAAACAAGCATAAGCAGCAAATGGTTCTAATCGTATTTTCGATTTTTAGATAAAAATATAAATCAATGGAGTGAAAGAAGACGGTTAAAAATGTATAGTTTATGTGCTCATTATAAAATCGCGGTCGTGTGTATTATAGAAGAACTTCGCGTGGAAGCGCGACGCGGATAATGTTTTTTTCTCAAAGCACATGTTATGAAGCCAATGTTAATTGAATTACCTACTCGTATTTTGGTAAGTTTATTGCGTGATGCTATACCTATAGTTGCTGAGTTATAGGGACTAAGGGGATTTCAAGGGGTATCTACTGATTTAGCACCAATTGAATCATTAAAGTTATCACGTTGTGATGTCTTATTATGTTAACCTTGAGAATAGTATATTATTTATTATCTTTGAAATAAAAAAATTAGATTTCTTTCTGTATTCTTGAACCTGAACTCTTTGATGGTTTAAGCATCGTTGTAAACCGAATTTCTTTGCTGTACCGATTTTTAAAAGTATATGTAGTTAACCGTTGTCTGATACGCACACACGAAAGCCTATATGAACTTTATAAAAAGTTAATCGTAACGTTATGATAATCGTTAGTAATATAATTACTTTAAATACATCTAGTTTGTTGATTGATTTTTGATTAACTTACTTGGTAGTTTCGTATATAGTTATAGAAGTAGAGTTACCGTACATCAAAAACCAACGCGTTTCAATCGTCATTTCACCCGTACATGCGGAAAATATGCCCATATATCTTGGGTGTGAAATTTTCTACACAATATGTGTTATCATCTACAGAGACAGAGACAGACAGTTTTATCATATCGTTTATAAGCATGTGACTTGTTCGTCCTCTATCATTTATGTAATTAGTAATACAGATGACGATTTTTTTTACTTTTCGTTAAATGAATCTTACTTTGTATAGTAGTAATTCTAGCTCATGATTCTTTGTTTTTGTTTTCTTTTAGTAAACACTTAAATGTACGTGGTTATTTAATATTTTAGTTTATTAATAGTAAGTAATTTTTGCGCTTGTGATTTTGTGGAGCGATTTATGACCAATATTATTTGTTTGTTTGTTTTGTTTGCTTATCTAAAACTAATCTCCGGTGTTTAGCGACATATTTTTGTCTTTAAAGTTCAATGTATAGCAACATCTTTGAAGGGTGTATATTTTTTTCTTTTAAACATTTACGTTTAATCATTTTTTTTTTTTTTTTTTTTTCATAATTATTTTCCCCCTTACGTCTGTATGTAGCAAAATCGCTAATCAAAGCTCTGTTGATTGTTTCAGGAGCGACCTAAGTTTATACATATATTTATCTGGTTTGTGAACTCAGTTTTGTCTTTCAAGTTTATACTTTGTTTTCTTAGGTCGCGTGTGTTTGTTCTAAATTCGCATCATCGTGTCGACCGAAAGACCATTTCGTTCTATCAAAATGTGATTTTGCAAATACATCGATATGAGTAATAAAGATCGTTAGCTAAAAAAAAAAGAATTCAATCGTTTGAGAAGAAAACAGCCTCCCCTCGTATACAACAGGTACTAGAAAACCATTTGTCAAACTTGTGATGTTGCGACAAAACAGAAATACCTTTGTATCTTGTATACCAGTATTTTTGTAAAAAAACAAACAAATAATTCGCGATTTCGGTCATAAACAATTTATTAGTAGGCTTACTTTGTATAGTCTTCATGCGCATCAATAATTAAATTCCATGTATATTAGTATTTAAAGATATGGCACAAAAACATTTTCGTGTAAGTTTCAACGATTTCCTTTATAAAAAAAAACTAAGTACATACATAAACATGTTCATGCATAAGTAAACGTGTAATCGCTAAATACGGTTCACGAACATTTATTCACGCGAGTCACGAAATCGATCTTTGTACAACTCACGTAGCTGCTGATACTTATTAAAGCACTCTATGTATGTTCATATATTTATATTTTTTTTCTTTATTAATCTTATCACCCATATTTTTACGTTGCATACGACTANAAAAAAAAACTAAGTACATACATAAACATGTTCATGCATAAGTAAACGTGTAATCGCTAAATTTTAAACTATTTGGTGAAAAAAAAAAAAAAAAAAGATCAAACAAATAATCGAGAGCAAATCAATAATCTAATATGCATGTATAAGTACAAAGTGTGTACAAGAACTCGATTCTACAAACTGTGTCGATGTGATTTGTATATCCGCAGGTGCCTAACGCATGAACTTGTCAAAAACACTCATCTCACAATCAACTCCAACGCAACATCGTCTATTTGTCCTTCGGAATCGCTTTTTGTGTAACAACATAACCCCACAGTCCTTCCTCGCACGATTAAGAAAAACGCTGCTGGTAATGTTTGTTTCTTTCCTTCTTCATTTGCACTATTTGCAGGTATTTTTGTTACTTATTTTGTTTGTTTTTTTTTCCTCTTCTATTTAACTTACAAACCCAAAAGAGAAGATGCTAGCTCGACACTAGCACTGTCGTCCTTTAGGGCGTTGCTGTTGCTTCTGTCACTCTATCCGATCGCACCTTTATCTTCTCCCTCGTCTTCCGATAGTAGTGCCGTTTATCTATCGTCCACTCGCACGTTCGTTTCTCCTCCTCCTCACCCTCCCATATCTCCTCCTATTCTACGCCTCTGCTGGCTGGTGGGTCTTCAGGTTGAGCAAACTAATTCTTCGACGTTAGGATTGTCACGAATTCTAGAAAAACAAAGGCATCGATGTAAGAGATTTATCATAGCTGGCATAATTCGTATGTGTGTACGAGTATATGTTTATAGCAAGGGATGCTGACCCACTTTTCTCACGAGATATTAAAAAGCTACTAAAAGGAGGTGGAGCATTTTCAGGCGGGCCAGAAATTTGGACTCAGCTGGCTAGGATGGGAAGTCGATATTCGCTGGGAAGTTTGAAAAAGAGAAGAATGAAAGGACTGCTGTGCCACGCCGTTGCAGCCAGGGGTATTGGAAATATGACATTATGAAAATAAAAGCCCCAGAATAGTAAGCCACAGTCTCTCGAAATTGGAAAATAAATGTTTCTATGCGCGTGCATTATCCCTTTTCCCTCTGCGTGAATTCCTCCCGCTTAGCTCATAGTCCTGACTCATTAATGCTGCAAGTTTCGTAGCGTCGTAGAAAATCCACGTCAGTGTACTTTACGAGCCATTCTTTTGAAACTTAACCTTCGACAGGGAAAAAAAAGTTTCGATTCAATAAAAGTTAAGACGTGGCCTAATTTTACCATCTCAAGTCTTTGGGCATCACGTGCTGCGAGCGTGTATAGGTACATCAGTTATAGTCAATTTTACCCGTGTATTACTTTTCGACGGCGAGCGTTGAAAAGTTTTTTCGTTCAGCATAGCATGAATAGCTTGTAATTACAGACTCTAAGAGTTTTCCATTAAAAATTTCGTTTGTTACCGTATAACTGTACGGGACAGACATTAATAAAATTTTTTTGCGAGCTCATGCAGATTTCTACGAAATAGCCTTGGAGCAGTATTTATAATATTTTGAAAATCCGTATACGTGCACTTGGGTAAACGTTGAGACTTTCTCAGGCAAAGTGAGTGGGAGAAAAAAGTAAAAAAATAAGCACTCGTGGCACACGAATACGTAAGCACAAACGAACTTCTCCAATTCGCTGGAAAAAGCAATATTTTCCGTTTCAGAAAATTCAGCTTTTCATTCTATTTCACACACTCCCACTCTCTCTTTCTCTCTCTCTTTTTTGTCTGAAGGCTTTTGTAAGTCACACTTATAATTAGCAAAATTGCATCATTTTTTTGGTCTCTAACTAATAAGGATTGAAATTCATTTTTTTACAAATAGTACAAGAGAAAATACTGAAAAAACGTATTGTTAAATTTTGAAAAGCCTTTTCTCTATACGATAAAGATTCTGGGAATACTCACTAAAATTCTTTCAAAAATCTAAAGTAGTTTATGTATGTATCAAACCGAAGAATTAAATACTTTTAGGTAAGGAAAGCTAAACTAATAATCATGAATATACCGATGCCCTCGAGAATGACGTATTTAAATATGTTGTGGACATTTTCTCACCTTCGTAGTTTACCATCCCATCTCCATCCAAATCTGCTTCTTTGATCATATCGTCCACCTCTTCTTCGGATAGCTTTTCGCCAAGGTTCGTCATGACATGCCGTAACTCCACTGATGATATTAAGCCGTCATTGTTTTTGTCGAATACTCTGAAAGTGGATAAAGAGGAGTCAGCTAGTCACGAAGGGTACTACGACATTCTGTGTGTGAGCTACTACTGAATGACTAGTATTAATCCAATTAAATTGATCTTAATCCAAGTGTCTTCATATAATCGTGATTTGACAGAATACAAATACTAGATAACTGTATCATTTCATGGATTTTGATCTTTTCTTCATGCAGTTACGTTTAATCAAAAATCATAAATAAAACTTTTTTCTCAATTTAATCCGCCCTAAATAATGAGTCTCATAAAAGTAATAATAATAATAATAATATAATAATAATAACAATAATAAAATAGTATTAATATAATGATAGTAATATTAATAATAATAACAATAATAATAATAATAATAAGCATGTAAAATGCACGGCAGTGTGGAATCTGTATAAGGTTTATAACCTGTCATTTTACAGGTTATTCGTTTAACAACAATAATTAAATGATTCTTTTAACAAAAATTTTGAACCTAAAAGCTTCGCGTAATTCGTCCTCGCAGTCGGCACCCTTCATCTTCTTAGACATCATTTGTAGGAACTCGTTGAATTCAATTGTGCCATTGCCGTCCTGATCGACTTCATTTACCATATCTCGCAGTTCCGTTTCTGCAATTTGCAAAATAACCATAAACGATATTCTTACTTTTTTAATAACCATGTCAAGTAAGATTATAAATTATTCTAGAATTCATGGTATACTTTAATTTTTATTTTTGAAACTAAAACAGAAAGGTGGTTGACATGCGACAGGATTTTGACTCATTTCTGACCTTGTTATTCGTATACTTGATGAAGAACAACGGAATTGAGGAAGTAAATTGTAATTCAGGCGTATTTTTTCTGTAAACAGGACAAGTTCTACATATTCTTTCCAATAAACATAGACGAACATTCACGATGAAAGTATACACCACATCAAGTTTCATAAAAGCGAAACTTCGTTCATGTAGGAATTACACGGCTATTCTCAAAAATCAACCAACAACGACTACTACCAATTTAATATTTTGCTCGAATTGAATCTGGAAAAATTATGCAAAATCGGTTCGTTATTTAAACTTTTCCCAGCAGCACTTGAGTAAAAATATAAAAGTTATACGACTTTCCAAGTATGCATGAGATTCACTTTGTGTATGATGATACAGGTGAGTAGTTTGTTAGGCCTGCAAACTTTGGGCTTGGTGCTTCATTTTCTTCTTTTTGCAAATTTATATTTGCTAAAGCAAAGATTTAATTAGCCAGTTATCAGACGAATGAAAAAAAAAAAAAAAAATTGTGCAAGGGTTCATTGGAATCGTGGAATTGAAGGACGAGAAATGAAAATGTTATGATCTACCACACCGTTGATGTAAGCGAAACATCTGTAAACTTCAGTGCTTGTACTGGAATGATTAAAGTTTAACACTCTGGGCAAAATGAGATATTGCCTAAATAAACAGTCACAGTTGTTTCGAAGTTGGAAGATACAACGTCTGTTTTTCAGACAAATAACGTATCAGATACGAAAATCCGTGAATGAGAAGCTGCAAAAATAAGAAAGAGTTATCCATTTTGATTCTATTTTACTTCACTATTTATTAAAGTGACGAAAAGTATACAGTACTGTTTACAATGTGATTCTTTATTAACAACTAAGGTAATTGACAACTTGTAACCAACCTTGGCTCTACTGTTCAAATTTCTGTGAATACAGTGAAATTGCGTACGTCTATGAGTTGAAAATAAACGTATTGCTTATGAGAAAATGCATTTTAGATATTGAAGGTAAAGAAAAAAAGAATCATCATGGTAATAGAAATGTGCTTCTTTGCATCTCTACTACTTCATGTCCATAGGAAAAAACGATACTGCATAGCTTAATCTCATATCCGCAATGATCTAGGACGACTTGCAATATACTTGAAGCAAAACAAATACGCATGTATAGAATGAGATAAGTACATTGGTATGGTTTAAAAAGCGCCAGCACACGTGTACAAAAGAAATGCAGCAATAGTAGATGCAGATATAGTACGAGAAATAGCAGGTTTATTCGCATTGCGGAAAAGGAAAAGTATGGCAGTGGAAAAAAAGCGCTCGAGTGGTGGTGCTAGCTGGAAGAGAGACCCGATGTGCTCTTTGGACTCTCCCTGGGCGTTTACCGCTGCCACCTCTCTTTCCTCTCCGTCCAACACTGCTGTGTGAATGTATATCAAAAGAATATAGTATACATATAAATCGAAACGAGAAGCGGTGGAAAGCTTAATAATTTTTTTTCTCGTCTTACTTTACTTCCCTGTTAAACTTTGAATAACAAATAATATATATTATATAACATTTGAAAGATTAATAATTCAGTTGGAAAGTAAGAAGAACCGCGGTTTTTGATAAACTCTGCACAATCTGTGGTGAAGTAATTTTTTTTTTTTCCTACGGTACTTCATGTTTCCTGTACATGTACCTAATGAAATTATGAAAATCGCTTGAATAATCTTTTATATCTCACTTGGTTGAAAGTTAATTCAGTTTGAGATAAAACATGAGTTTTATTATGTTGCAATGAAAGAGTAGCACATAATGGATTTATGATGAAAAAAAGAAAAAGAGCAATGTATGGATAAGACTTGGAGTATATGAAAATATATATTATAGGTACAAATTTTCTTTTTCTTCGAAAGACAGGGAAATTAATCATTCAATCAATGTGGAACATTTTTTGGCAAATAAAATTTTCACTTACCAGACGGTCGCTGTCCCAACGAACGCATCACAACTCCCAGTTCGGCCATTGTGATAGTGCCATCTTCGTCCTTGTCGAATAGCATGAATGCTTCTTTGAACTCTGTAAAAAGTGGAATTTTTTTTCGATTCAATTAAACGTCCATGAATTCTTACAGTTTGGAGAAAAGGTTAAATGATTCTTTGATTAATTAACTTTTTAAATACAGATCACTTATTCAAAAATACTAGATATTTGGTTAGCATAATTGGTACGTTTGTTGCTGAATCACCTTATAATATTCTTTTTACTTTTTTTTTGGTTCAGGAATCATATTTATAAAATAAATCTCCAATAAGCACCGAATTAAAAAAAAACGGCTCATGATTTTTTATTCATAGGTTTATCATTATTTATAAAAATTGTTATCAATGACTAAAAATGACTGCTTGATCATTCCCATTACACAAAACTTAAAATTTTTTTTTCATCCAGGTAGTTGACAAATTTCAGTAGTGCTCAACCTAAAAATTACCTAAAAAAGAAAACAAGCTATGACTGATTTTGCAATAAAATGCTACTAAAAAAAATGTTTTTGATTTCCAAGACATTCGTACTACAGCTCGAACTTACTGTACCCTGTCAACTACAAAAAAAAAAAAATTACCAAAAAAATCTGCACTAACGTGAAGAGAGAGAGAAAATCATACATCATGAAGACCTTGACACGAATCGCATATCTACGCACAGTGATATCGCCCTATCCTCTAATAGGTATACACAAACGCACTCGTTCCCTGCGCAACATTTGAAAAATATCGGCTCGTGGAATAAGAAAGATCGGGCAATTTGCCAGCCACGAGTCCCCCGTCACCCATTGTAATAGCGCTGCTCTTATAAATCGCCGATTCGACGCTAAAGCTCCCAACCCATCGCTCTCCCTCCTCTTTTTGTCACCTTCTTTTTCATTCGAGCGCATGCACGAATGTTTACCCAGGAAATCTCGTCGCGAATCTACGTCCTTTCTTGCTGCTTGTATATATTATATACATACAGCAGTAAAAGTTCTCGCGACTTTTTTTTTCCATTCGTCCGCACGATGCGGTTTTTATTGCACCCCGTCTTACGAAAAGAAAGAGTTACCGTCGAGCCATCGAGCTGCTGTGATAAAAAGTTTTATGCATGTGAGCGATGGCTGTTTTTCTCTCCAGACGAGTACGGTGTTCTCGAGTTGTATCCTTATTATATCACGAGAAAAATGTTTGGATTTTCAACTTGGAAAGCCATTGAGAAAAATAAAGAGGTATACCTTTTGTCTGTTGTACCATGCCACATTACTCAATTATCATTGAAAAATGTAGCTCATTACGAGTATCGCACTTTCAGCCTTTTGGGCTTGAGGAAGTTTAATTGGAAGCACAAAAAAGAAATGCGTGAGAAAGTAGGTCAGATTTGAATTTTAAAAAGCATCTGAAATTACTTCAGGATGTGGGTTAAATCGTAAAGGTTGTTCCGGCAAACGTGCCGTCGAAATACTTTTTTTTCGCCTCTTCAGAAAAGCGAATCCTTTAGAATTAGAACTTGAAATACACGTAACTACAAATATATACACAAGAGGGACGCAAAGGTATTCCAATTTATTCAATGGCAGACGTGAGCGATTCAACTACCCATCTACGTTCGACCCACATTTTTTAACATCGCTATTCGCATGATAACAAGACAACTTCACTTCGTGCTCGTAATTCACACTCTTGTACTACACATTTCAATAATACTTAATCCTTCAAATTTACTTTAATTGATTTTTTGATCTCAAAAATACATAATGTCGAGATTATAATTTTTTTGAGACATAGTAGATTACTGGCAATCGACATAAAAGCCGTCCCTGTACGGGTAGCGAATTAATACTTCAGTCATTAATACGATACAGATACTGACATGGAGCCTCGAGGCACTTGCAAACTATAAAAATCCGAGCGATTCAGCTGTAGTAGGTCTGCACTCAAAGCATACGGGTCTACAGGAGAAAATCTTGCGGAAGCAGTGGTGCGAGCAAAATTCCAAAATCTCGAATCTCTCTTGTGCGCATCCCAACTTTTCGCATTATGGAAATGATGCAGAAGCGATGTTTCAACAACCAGTTGGCAGTGGAGGATAAAATGTGGTGCCAAGGCGATTTATGTGTGAATGGTGGCGTCTCAGCTGCACCTCGTTGCTGGAGAAAGAGAGATGCGTCGGAACTCCCCAAAATATGCTGCACTCGAGCACCTGTTACCTTTTATACAATAAACTGTGGTCTAATGGCTTATTTGCCCAAGATAAAATGAGACGAAACAGTTTTTTTTAAGGATTTATAAAAAGTGGCTGCAATCGTTTCTGTTTGGCTCCTTGGAGAAAACAATAATAAAAAGTATTGTGCCATAGCACTGTAAAATATCAAGGTTCCATCGTGTAGAATATTTCGTCATGATATTAATTTAAGTAAAGGATCTTTGAGACATTTAAAGTAAAGTATTATTAGCCACAGCACCAAGGGCTCAAGTATAATGTTTTTTTTCTTAAACTAAATACTTACTCACTTACAATTTTTGATTTGGCTCTGAACATGTTTTTAGTTATTTCATCACTTGAACACTAAAAAATTACAGCAACGTCTGATCATTGATTTATTTCATGATGGAATTGATCCAATTATTTAGTTGATTGACAAGCAACTTAGATCCATAACTGAAATCCATGTTGATAAGGATTCTATAACTAGATGTGCATAGAATTTTCATGAACTACAGTAAATTGTACTCCAAAAAGAAGTCTACGAGTTTTAACCTGGATAAGAGTGCAAATATTCTTCGTGGACTACAGTGCACTACTTTTACTATGAATAAAAGTGTTTAACTTGTAATGTTGACAAAAAAACTGTAAACGTCGTTGGAAAGCGTAACTTTTCTCGAGACGTAACTGAAAGTGACTCCCTTCCTCCATCGTTGTATTAATTGAGAAACAGGAGTTGGTTTGTTGTAATGTGTACAAAATCAACACACTTCAAACTTTTAACGAGACTCCCCGCCAATCAAACACCCATTTTACGACCAGCAATTATCACCCGCTCACGAAAACAGAGCTGAACTACGTACAATTCAATAAAAAAGCAATCGCCAATCAATTAATCTGTAGTTTGAGCGCCTCACACTAGTGGCTGCCAGCTAAAAATGAAAAAGAGAAAAAAAAAACAGAGACCAGCGAGAGCTCTTTTTAGGGTAGTATATTTATTTCCCTTGGAATGCACCTGCAAGGAAGAATGTCGTGTCCTTTTTTCTATGCTTCGATAAAATGAGAGGCTACAAAAAAAATTAAATTTTCTTTTTAATTTCCAGCCAAGTCTATTTAATTAATTTTTAATAATTATTATAATGACAGGAAAACGGTACTCTTGTAGCTTACTCCTTGCGCCAATGCATATATACGCGACTGTACAACTGTACACGTGCGTGTCAAGCAACAAAAAATAACATGTTTTTTTTTCCCTTCTGTCTCGCAATCTTTTTTTATCACTGTGTAGATACTCTGTTAATCAAGATCTCAAGGTCTTATTTAGAGGTGCTATATTGCTCTCTTCCGCTTTTTCTCTCTCTCTTTCTCTTTGTTGACGTACGGCTATGAGCGTGAGATATTTTCGAAGCAAAAAAAAACTTACCCGCCACTTGGTCCTCCGTAAGTCCGTACTCCGACTGCAAAGTAAAAATAATTGTGATTACTGAGGGCTCAATCAAGATAACTCATTTATTTTTTGAAACACAATTTCATGCGTTTTATCACATAATTTTGTCAAGTATATCGATTTCAATTGTCTCAATCGTGCTGGGTAATACATATAATTGTGATATGAATATAAATGTGTAAGTGGTGAAATGAACAAATGACATAATGGACGGATAAAATTAGCTTTTCTAATTGAAGCAAGTCAAGCATGAGATTCGACCAGAAAACGTGCGAACGGGCCTATCCGAGAAACTTCAACAAAGAGACAACGGGGACCGCGACGAAGATTGTAATACCGAAATAGAATAGAAAGAAATAGATTGTAGCTCCTAAACTTTGGTTAAAATTAACGCGAAACACGGAGCTTGCGTTCGGTGATAGCCTTCCTATTTAAAACAATGTATTTTTTTATTGTTTATTATTTAAAACATTGTACTTTTATTGTTTATTATTGTTATTATTTTTTTTTTCTGCCTTTAAAAAATTATTCTTCATACACATCACATGAATGAGATGAATGTATTTTCACGAAGCACCAAATAATCTCTTCTAGCAGGAAAATCACGACATTGTTGCCTAAACACTCTGTGTAACTGACACCTTTCCTTCTCTCTCTTCCTCAAGTCCTTTCCAATGTATCCATCAAAAGCTTCCCATATATACCACGAAAGCTCAACATGAAAGCACTCACGGAGAGTCGACGAATCTGACAGTCGATTTCATTGGTGAGCCTCCTGAGCTTGTAGTACTCGTGCGTGTACCTCTTCGGATCAGCCATACCGAGTCCAAAGTACACATGCACGCACAGCTACAGCTGCGTAACCCGCGAAACTGCAATTGAATGCGCAGAAAAGTATGATGACTCGCGAAAAGAGGTGGAGGCACGTCGAACTGCCGAGAAGGTGTATGGATGGACTAACTGTCGTGGCGTGTACACGTGTTTGGCAAGAGAGGGAGAGCTTTTGTGCGAGCTTGCGGCGTTTATTTGCGGAGGAGAGCGAAAGAAAGGGGAACGGCGCTACTGGGAGCTTGTACGTTATGTTACGTGTCTTTAAGATTTGGGATACGCGTGAATAGAGAAAAATAAGTTTACCAAGTGAAGTCTGAAATCAAAAATATTCACGAAAGTGGGCGAACAAGATTTTGAGCGAATGTTTCTTTTTTTTTTCATGAATCTCGTGAAGGAGTGTGTGTCTCTTTTTTTCTCCACGCGATGGACAAGTGGTAAAAAAAACCTGTTTCCCAACGAGCAGCTAGCTGAGTGAGCTACTTCCACATTTTGGTAGCTCGCCCCTATTGAACCGTATGTGCATTCAAAAAAAAAAAAAAAAAAAATACATCTCACGCGAGCGGGCAACCAGTGTAGGGTGAACTATTATTTGTTATCATGTAGTTACACGTGCTCGTTTTCGTATGCATCAGTGTTGAAAGTGTTGAAAAGCGAGCGGAAAAAAATGGAGCTAAAGAGACAAGACATGTACTTTCTGCTTTATTAATAATACGCCTACGAGAGGGGCATAATGTAGCCGGCAAGCGCCTGAGGCATATTAATTGGGTCGTTGAACGCGAATGCACGCTCTTCAGTTGTGACGAAAAAAGTTGAGCTTGCAAGGTCGTCGGCTTGCATTTGCTCGAAGCGATAAAAAAAAAAAAAAAAAAAAAATTTCAGAAAGTCAGTCGAAGATGAACAAAGCGAGCACTGACGGGTGTGCGTGTTTATCAAAAAAAAAAAAAAAAAAAAACAGGAGGAAACGAAATCCTCTT